TTCAAACACGCACGCAGCACAACTTGTTACTGTGATGATATAGTGTATACGAGGGGAGTACTATAGAATGGGCAATGAAATGTTAATATTTAAATTACATCATTTTGCATGTTTTTGTAGATATTGTTTGAAGTGTGAGACCATGAGGGCAACTAGGAGCGCTTGTCAGATCACAGCAAGTTGTGATAAAAGATTTGGAAGGTATTTAAAGCAGCACTTTTCACCTCATCAAGATCTATCATAGAGAGAGACCAAACTTTTCTTCCCTTGCAGTAGAATACAATCATGTTTGGTCCATTGGAAAGCAGTAATTTGCAGAAAAAAATGTAATAAATAGATTTTTTTTAAAGCTTTCTTCCATGTTATAATGCTGTTTCCTCATCAAAAAACATGCCTGAAGGCGTTTTAAATGGCATAATGCATGTTTGAGCAATTTTATGATCTCTCCCAGGCCCTGTTCTTTAAGATTCTGTCTAATGCTCAGCCCACGAGTCTACATCATCCATGCTCCCACACGACAACTCTCCATAAATATAGAAACAATTATTCAGAACTGTACACAACAACATGACAAACCTGATACGATGTGCAGTAGTTTAATTAATGGGACGCGCGCTAATTGTGTGAGAGTGCTCTGAAGGGGGAGTGACTGTGTGCTCAGAGCAAAGGGAGGGGAGATTCAGAGCATTAAGAACAAAAGTGAAACTTATAAAACATGTTAATGCGTTGGTTTCAGCAAATAGCATTTTCAAAACAATAAAAGGTAATATGGTGTAAATAAAAGTTAAAATCTCCCTCTTTAAAGTTGAACTATGTAACTTTTCTGGTGGGGTGTCATTTGCTTGTTTTTAATTCCATAGTGTGGAATATTTCAGATAAAACAATTATGTATTTTTGAGACAAGCACCGGAAAGGTTACACAGCGCATGATTAACAATCATTTGAATAATTTTGAAATCATCTTTTACAAACTCATCATCATTCCATGGTCAGTCCTGTGCCATTCAGGTTCTAGTTCATTATGGAATGGAATAGTTCATGGAATAGTTCAAGTAATGGAAATACATTTACAATTTGTTTCTTATTTATATAGAGTTTATTTCAACACTGCTGTAACAGTGTTGCTTTTCAGGTTTTCTCATGTGCACATCTTATGAAACTGGAAAAAAAAAAAAAAAATTACATGACATTTTTGTGGATGCAGCAAGATATATTGTGCTGCATCCACATCAGCATTCACACACGGCTCTGATTTGAAATCTCATAAAAAAGTCTGTAGATGTTCGCTGAGGATGCTGGATTTGAAAAATACATCTGTGACATATATGTTGGATTGTGATTATACTGTATATATTGCATATTTTAAAGGGCACATTTTAATCTATTTTCTGATCATATGTTATAGTTGTTTCCTAATCAAAAACATACCTGGAGTTGTGCTTTGTTTCATTCACACATGTTTAACACAGAGACCCTGCATATTTAGGTTCTTCTCTCAAACAGAAAGCACTGTTTCACCGCGTGATGTCATGTGGTAATACAGAAATTGCTAATCTGTGTTTTTAAACTCGCAATTTGACTAGAGTCATTTGGATGATTTCAGCCCTGTAATTGCCAATCTCTAAAAAACAAATGGTAAATGTAGCTGTTAACTTGAAAACTATCACTTCATGACATCACAAGGTGGAACAGAGCATTTTGAGCTTTAAAGATGTAGATATCCTAATAATCCAGGATTACTCAAATGTGTGAATGAAACAAAACATAACTCCTGGTATGTTTTTGATGAGGTAACAACTTTATAACATGGTTTAAAGCTCACAGGCATCATTAGTACTGTAGTGTATCTTGGAGGGTTTAGTAGTATGTAACATTAGTTTGTGTTTTTAAATACTGGCACCACCTGCCTATAAAGCAGATGTTTTGTAACAAAAGCAGAGTTGGAAATCTACCATTTAACTGTGAATGGTATAAAATGCTGCTTGATTTTTACGCTATGTCTGCACTAAAAGCATTTAATAATAATGTTCTAGTATTGATCCGTGCAGGTGTTCTGCACAGGCTGCTAAATCCTCATGCATTATGCATAGCAGCATGCCTCAAAGGAGATTTTAGGTGCATTTAATGGAACAAAAATGGAATAACTTGGATTTTTAAATGAAGAATTAATGGGGGACTGGGTGTGCATGAGACTGATTTGACTTTTACAATTAGTCCTATTAATTCCGGCACACACGTAATAAAATATCTGCATATCAATATCTCTTTTGCGTTCCTGTGTTTTAACGCACAGACACAATCTCCTCCTGACTGGATAAAAGCATTGAACAAGACAGGAGCAAATGCCAAGGCAGCTCCAGTGTCGTGCCCTGGAATGTGAGCGGCTTGTATAGACTAATGGGACGATAATGGGCAGTTTACAGAGGGAGAGTCACACCAAAGGATGGATCACATTTAAGCTAACCTCCTTAAGGCATCGTTACTGCTCATAAAAACAGCCACTAATAAAACATAGCCCAATTACAGAGAAGTGCGCTAAAGATTAACGCGTTTCAATTAGCTTCTTAATGGAACCGAAAAAGCAATTACGAAATGTGACATCAAAATTATTTATGTCTTGGATTCTTAAATAACAACAGAGCAGAATGTAGGTCTTTGTGTTGTATTGTACCAACTATAATACATTTTACACTTTCACCACATCAAGATCTATCATACACACAAAGACAATTATAATTATGTAAGAGCAGCCACTCAAATTTGATTTCTTACATAATACTTCAAGGACCAAACTTTTCTTCCCTTGTAGTGAAGTATACAATAATTTTTGGCCCATTGCAAAAGCAGGAATTTGCGGGAAAAAAGCTTTGTATTGATGAACCACATTTTTGATTGCAACCTGGATGTAACTGCTGGGACTTGTTAGTGCATCTAAAGATGGGCACAAGTTTTGTCACGAAAACAAAACAGTTTGCTCATTTAGGACAATAGCCTATAATGTCTTTCTTTTCCGTGACTAAGACTGATTGATCTGATGCCCCGTAGTCTGGAGTACAAATATGTCTTTAAGTTGAGGTGAGAGTTTAAACCAATACAGTCTGGTAGTTGGTGTTAAGAGCCACAATGACCCACAGAAAGGCTGCAAATATAAGCTACTGAATACTGTGTACTGTCTTTATAGAAACTGCTAACTTTTATGCCATTCTGTGGAGGATTCCAGGCAAAACAACATCTAGGTAGAAAAGAGGTCTTGGATATCTAAATATTATTCTAAAGAGTATTATACTTCTACGGTGTATGAACTGCTAACACATTACACATTTAGATCACTACATTACCTTTAATTGTCTGAAAATGCTATATTCACCAAAAACAATTGATCAACTGTTAGGATAAACAACTAGGCTTAGCTATTTTGTTTAATCACTTCTATAGTTCATTAGGCGCTAAGACTAAACCACAGTAGCCTCCCACTATAGTTTGCATATAAAAGTCATTGTATAGGCGTAAACATTGAGTCTCTGCTTGAGAATGTCGGCACAGACTCCTTGTACAAGCATGGCTTTCTAATATTGGAATAAGTAAATTATCTGGACTTTATTTCTGTTTCAAGTGTGTTTCTTATCTATGTAAAAACGAACATGAAAAGAAAAAGGTCGTTTTACTCACCACAACATGTTTAATAAGTTTCAGTTTAGTTTTAGCTTTTTCATAAACTTACAGAAGACTGGCTTGTGGTCTGAGTGCAGAACAGAATCACACTGCTGACCGTGAGGAGGGTTTGAATATAGCCTGGGAGAAATCACAAGATTACTTAAACATGCATGGATGACTGTGGAGAAGCTGGTCCGATGTGGTCAACGTAGGCGACAGGCTTAAAAGAGAAGTGTATTAAAAATTCCTTTAGTTGTGAATGTTAAATAACTTGATTACAAAATAAATTGTTAAACTCAGTTAAACAGAAAATAAATAGATTAAAACCAACACAGCAACCCTGTGCACCCAACCACACTAAAGTCTCCCCCAAAGGACTAAAACATATACTATTCTCTCCCCTGCAGGAAGGACCTCCCCTGGGTAAATACAATTTCCTTTTATAGGTGACAACAAGGTTTAAACTTCAGCCGTATCTAAATCTAACTGGATAAAGTATTCGAGCCTAAGTCCCTTTAAACAAAGTGTTTAGAAAGAAAGGTATAAACACACAAATACTGCACCCAAAATACACAAATACATCGAAACAAAATAGAACTTAAACAAGTTCTCCCCTCTACATGGTCTGGCCCGTGACCTCTACCAAAGGTTATAAAAATGGCCACCAGAGGGCACACCCCTTTTTGTTTGGACCATGTGGAAATACAGGTAAACAGTGAAAGGATATATTTAACTGAATTGTGAAATTAATAAGTTTAACCAAATAAAATATCTTTAAAGTAAGTAGTTGTGCATGTGTGGTAATTTAACTGAAGTGTAACTAGAACATAACCCAGGACAACAAGCTGTTTAGTTGGATATGATAAATGAAGTTGATAAAAACACAAATGAAATAATGGGAGAAAGTGACCATAAACCTACTTTGTCATAATGACGTCTTTAGTAATCTCCAAAAAGTCAATTCTGCATAAAGCCCCCGTTTAAATATTTTGATGACAAATACAAACTGCTCGATTTCTAGATTTACAATGCAAACATTTTTTTTTATGTAACATCTTCAGAGCTGTATGATTTTTTTGTGCTACTTTCACAAAGCAGCAATATCCATCCATTTGTGATTTGTGCGGACGTAGAACACCTGTAACTAAAAGGAAACTCATGCTCTAATAAATTTGACGTGAATGATGACTAGAGTTCAGCCTCCCTCCGTTTCATTAATCATCCTCTTCCCATCACCGTCCGCCGCTGAGCTAGAGTTGCCAAGGCATTTTCTTCCAAATGAATTTTCTCTCTCACTGCTCCTAATCTCCACTTCTTGTTTGCTATTTCTTCTCTCCCCAGATCAGTTTTTTTTTTCAACCTTTCACTCTGGCACAATGCTTTCGCGAGACAAGGCTTACTAATGCGGCAACCTCTCTCATCTGATGAAGAAATGCTTTGATAGAGCGAAAACTACGGAAATGTAAGTAGATAGAATTTTCAAGAAAATTATTTATTTTGAGAGAAAAAGGGTAAAAGTTTGAAAACTTGAAAACTATTGCTTTATGACCTCACAAGGTGGAACAGAGCATTTTGAGCTTTGGTGATTTAGACATCCTAATAATCCAGGGTTACTCAAACATGTGTGAATGAAACGAAACAGAACTCCAGGCAGGTTTTTGAAGAGGTTCCAGCATGTCATGGTTAAAAGCTCACAAGTCAATTTTGCATTACATAGGACCTGTAATAAGTACAGGATATTTTGGAATATTTTGTAGCATTTAACATGTTAGTTTGTGTTTTAAAGGTGCACTATGTAATTTCTGGTGGAGGGTTCGTCTATGGAAAGGCAAGCCTATTCGAAGTAAGAATGTATTTTTTTAAGTCAATAAAACACATGTAACTGAGTAAATGCAAGATGGATAGTTGAACTAGGAAGGCTGGAGCGACCTAGTGCAATTTCATTTCTCTCCAGCGAATAGGACAGGAATCGAAATACACTAGATGGTTTACAAGAACCCCGGATGTTCTAGACTGCGCATCGACCAGTTAGAGAAGAGCTGTGACGCTATGACTGTGTCCCTTTTTGTGGTACAGCATAACAGTAAACAGTGGTCAAGATGGATGTAGACGAAGCCATACATTCTGTGTGGGCAATGATTCCCAAGATCGAGGATTTAAAGCTGGAACAAAGAGAATATTTGTTGAATTTTATCAAGGGGAAAGATGTTATTGCCCTGTTAGCGGCGCATTACATACGTCATGACCAAATAGCAAAGACTGGTTAAATAAAAAGAGTACCTACCTATCGCTGAGTGAATGAATCCTAATGCTGCGAGGTCAGACGAATCTGATGAATCAGGCTATAGTTTACCACCATACTGTGAAACATTCAAGACAAAGCAATACCATCTCCGTGGAGATATGCCCATGACGCACCTTTCACCAGAAAAGCTCCACAATCTACCTTTAAATGAAAAAGATACAATTCCCAATAAAAAATGTTTAGAGAAAAAAATCTAAGAAAAAGGAAGAAACAATGGTCTAAATTGATATTTTGATTTAGCTAGCAAGTGCATCCTGATGCCTCTTGGCTGTACTGAAAAGTTGTATTCGCTGGAAAGAAAGAATGACATAAAGAGCGGAGAGGAAATAGAGTGGTATTGGCAAACGGCCGCATATCAACCTTGCCCCGATCCAAGCTCCAAGTTGGCCTGTGACTGGTCGGTTGTGGTTGGGCCTTGGCAGTGCCTGAAACAACAGCTGTTTGGAAATGATGGAAGCCCCCAAATGAGGAAGACGATGAGGGAGTGACAGTCTGCGAAAATTTGGTTTGCTCGGCCCATTTGTACAAAGCGTAGAATCACAAAAACATTAACTTAGCAGAAATGAAAGCACAACTGGACAAATTACAAATGTTGATTGAAATTGGATGCCTTCAATCTACTCCTCTGAGGGTGTTGTTTATGAGACTGTCTCATTTCACGGCTTCAACTGCGTCCAATGGGAAGGATTGTACGGGCTGTCGACAAAATGAATTTAGACCGTGGACAATAATATTCGTGCTCACAAAAGAGAAGAATTGGTAATTACTCGTAAATACCTTTAAGCCTTCTATTGGTAATACTGAAGGAAATACCAGCTTCAAGCCTGAGCAAAAGAGGTGGTAGCTGGAAGTGTGTCACAGGTTAAAAAAAAAAAAAAAAAAACTTGCCAAATTACACAGAAGGAAGGAACTTGTGGTCCCTTGATACATAAATACATATTGCAAAAATTTAAAGGAAGTTAAATGGAACGGTGCCTAATTTTTACAGTCTTAAAGGTGCACTATGTAACTTTTTGGTTGGTCCGTCACCTGCTTGTTTCTAAGGAGATGTCATTGCTCAGCCTAGAATGTTCCACAATATGACATGAAGCAGCTCTACCTTACATTTATTCAATTACAGGTGGTTTTACTGCTCAGATGTTTCAACAAACAACAGGCATTCTGAGTGTGAGCGGGGCCGCGTCTCCACAGACTTGACAAGTAACTTGGCCTGGTTTGGTTTCCATGAAGATAGAAAGGTTTAATACCACTGTGTGAGACATTTCCAACAAAACAATAAGCTCTCCACTCTGAAAAGCATTTGACGGATCCTCCACCAGAAAAGTTACACAACACAGCTGTTAGAACGTTGTTGCCTCCACAAAAATATACCTGGAGTTGTGTTTTGTTTTATTCACACATTTGAGTAATCTTAGCCTGTTATTAGTCTGTCTACATCTCCAAAGCTCAAAACGCTGTGTTCCAACTAGTGATTTTCACAAAGCGGTAGTTTTCAAGGCAACATTTTATCTTTAGTTTAGTAGAGATTGGCGATTCAAGATCTGAATTCATCCAAATGATTCTAAAGGTGAATGGAGTTTAAAAACACAATGGAGCATTTCCTGTACCAAATGACATCACAAAGAGTCACGTCAAGTGAGTGTTTTCTGTTTGAGAGAAAAACTTAGCCTAAATATGACTTGTGAAACACAACTCCAGGTATGTTTTAATGAAGAAACAACATTATACCATAGATCACAAAATAGCGATCATAAGCAGTTATACAGTCTTGTACCATCCAGGTAAAGTTGAAATGGCTTTGGAAAAATGAATAAGAAACTGCACTGGCTATACACACACAATATCAATGTACTTTGCTCTTACAAAACCTATCCACATTGAACATGAAAAGGCTTGATTGGTGTTATGGAGAAAAAGGTAGGCCACTGAGCAAATGTCAATGCATGCCTATTCCCATACACGACCACCTGAGCATACAATGGAGAAAATAGACCTCCAAAGGCACATAATACATGAAATCCTTATTCGGATCTGTACCTCTTTGTCAGACTTGATGCCATCTAGCTTTCAAAATGCTGTTACAGAATGGGTTATGTGCATACAATGTGGCAAGATTGTTAGAATTCAGCAAAGACTGTATAAAAAAGTGGACTAAGTGAGTGTGACGTCACCCACAGCGTTCAGCGCTGCTTAAATGAAGTCGTGATTACAGGAGCGAATTTGGAACCAGTCTCTGTATTATGAATAGGATTTTTTTTTTTTGACAGACAAAAAACACCAGGATCATGTAGAGCACGTTAATGCGAACATTTTAAGACCAAAATGACAAGGCTCACTGCAGCAGTTACAGAGAGGAGTGACAAAATTCCAATGTAAGTCAATGGAAACCAGGAACAGAAAGAGCCGGAAGAGCCCGCATGCGAATTTCCTATTTGGAACACAACAGCTAGTGCGTTTGCCATGTCCATTTATATATTGAGTCTATGGATTTAAAGGACAAATTAACCATGCATCTTGCTTTCACTTGCTCTTAACCCCAGAAGAAACACACCCATAGGTAATACAAAAGCAAATGAATGTACAATACTGTTTTGTGAATCATAACCAAAATATGAGATGAAATAAAAATTTGGATATTTTTAAAGATTTTCTTGGTGTTCTGTGCTAAAATTATGTCTAGAAGGTAAATAAAATAAATGTCTTATGTTACCTGACAGTTTTGACTGCTCACTAGTGGTCTTCCTCAGAGTGGTCATGTGATGTTGCTGTGACGTGTCCAGTCATCTGATTTATACAAGTTTTGGCACTGTCTTCCTACCAGTGGAGGCAGGATGACATCTGCAGTCGAACTTCCTCAGGACAGTATCCCAGGTGTGTGAGAGTAAAAAAGCCCCCTCGTCCCGGTTTATAGTCCCGTGGGCGCGTTTCCGTATTTCGATTGCCTCTTTAATCCAGTGACGGGGTTTGTTTTCCTCTGTCCCAGTGATGTTTGCTCCCAGTCCATAATGCAGTTCTCTGATAGGAAGACAGCGGCAAATCCAGAATAAATCAGCTGACCACAGCTGACACTACAACATCACGTGTCCACTCTGAGGAAGACCGCTAGCGAGCAGTCGAAACTGTCAGGTATGAAAACAAACTCTTGGTCTGAAAAAAGAACCTACTAACATAAAATATCGGAAGACCAAATTAACCTCATTGAGCTAAAATAAATGTCTATATTGAGTAATATATTCACTAAACCTTCTCCTTATGACCTCTTGTAGCTGAGATATATTTATATTACTATATTTCTATATTTTACTTTTACCTGTACATCTACATTAATATAATTGTACCTTTTGACACCAGTCTCTTGCTATTTTTGCTACTTTTAAAAAAATCTGTTTTTGCTCTTTGTATTTACAACGTGTTGTGATGTGGGAGCTATGCATCCAAATAATTTCCCCTGAGGATCAATAAAGTTTGTCTGAGTCTAAACCAGTGTACACGCTTGCATGTAGAGATAGTACATGCGGATATTGACGTGCTCTTGTGTCGCAGGTGAACGCTGAACTTTCGAACAAGTGCTTCCGCAAAATTTCGAGTAGCGCGACGATGACTCAAAGAGCAATTTACTCATGTCCTTTCACTCATTCCCAGACAGCTGAAGGCTACGTGTGCGGCGCCGTGCAGTTAGGCATGGAGATGTGACAGCCTGGCTTATTAAATCACGCTGATAGAGAGTTGATGCAGAGGCAGGAGTGGGCAGTCCCGCTCCAAGACATGTGATCGCTCCCTCTCCTTACAGCTGGGTACATTGTAATACATGCACGCTGCCGGTTGCGCACACTGGCTCTACCTTTTTCCACATTCACAGAGTCTGTACTTGGAGCGCCCGGGCGGCACAGACAGGGAGCTCACACTGTCAGCGTCGGCTTTCTCAATGGGGAGACACGGACAAGAGCACACAGAGCGACTCCACTGGAGCCTTCCGCCGCGCGCCTTCACCGGCAAGTGAAAAGCGCGGCCAAATTAGCGCTTGTCATTTCATCAGACTTCTTTTAACAGCGGAGTGATTTAAAGAAAGAAACTGACTGCACTGAGAAGATCTAGACCTGTTTCCTTCCTTCAGCGCCGACTTGAGCAGCGTCCCAGCCGTCTCCAAATCTCTTGACATCTCAGAAAAAGGAATAACTGAAAAGTACAGCACTGCAGACCGTTTTTTTTTTATCCTGGATAATTTGGCTGTGACCCCTTATTTCGAAAAATGGATGGATTTAGCGGAGAAGATTGATACTGCTGGAAAGGCAGGCAGTGACTGACAGCTCATTTTCCTCCTAAGCATCAGGTAAGAAGATACTTTTGAGGAACACCTATGGAGTTTGGGGGGAAGGTGGGGTGGGGTTCGTCTGTTTTCAAGATAAACATTGGTTCATGTGTCACCCACAGAGCACTTTACAGCAGGGCACTGGCAAAGAACAACACGCGTTTTATCTTCGTTATATAAGTTGAACAAATAAAGGCTAAGGTTTAGATTAAATGCAGTTTGCTTCGTTATAGTTCTAAATAGTGCCTCATTTTGTTTTTGTGCATGTAACTGTGTATTTAACCTACTCGGGGTCGTTTGAAAGCGAAGAGACCTGTAAACACTTGGTGCGTGAGGGGTGCGTGATTGCAGGTACTGTCGACCATACTTTCTCGTTTGTGGTCAAAAGAAGCAATTGAAACTACTCCACGTATTCTATTTTTTCGTAAATTCTGCTTAACTTGACAGAGCAGCCTTGCGCATGGGACATATGCGCACTGAGACACGAAGTCAGCCACAGGGAAGAGTTTGGAAGTCTCTGATCAAAGCTACTATCGTTTTATCCAAAATGTAAAACTTGTAGTATGAGTTTGGGTGTGAAGTTTAGCATACTCATCTTAGAGGTTAAAAGGAAAAGAAAAATAAGAGTGCTGTGCCCGGTTTGTACCTTTTACGCACAGCCGTACAAGCTCCAGCAGTGCAAAAATTAGCCCAATCGACTGCTTAAGATGTTCTCTACTTAAAATATATGACACATTATAAAAGAAGAGCAGATATACCTACACAAGACGTAATCATTTTAATTAATCATGATTTATAGAGGATTAAGAACAAGCACAGGAATTAGAAACGAACCGCTAGTAATTATATGCTTAATTTTTTTCAGTATTTAAATCAGTTTCAGTGTCGCCGAGGGCAGCACTCTCAGTTTTAGTAGCCTGCTATCAATCTTGCATACAGATGATGGAATGACAGACAAGAAGTCAGCTTGAGGAACACGCTTTGGGGCTATCTTCATTCAGCTCGTAGATCTTGAAACATTGAACTAAAGGTACCTACTTGATTTTTGACTTTTGGGGGAATACACTGAATACGATAAATTATGCATGTACAGAAATAATAATAATAAAAAAAAATACTTGAAACAATTCTGTCTTAGTCTGGATAAGATCTTTCTGGTCACTTTGATTTCACTCACTTATTTATAACAATTGAGGTTTGATATGCTAGGTGGTGGTTGCTTTGGCAGTGCCCATTATTAAGTTATTGCCCACACAGTTTAATGTAAGATTGATATTGCACTGTATGTTTACATTTTTATCATGTTTGTGCTTTGATGTTCCTCTAGTCCCTTTAGTGCATACTTGGGGAGTTGTATGCTTTATTAAGTGTATTTTGTTGGCTGAATGAGACTTTTTTTGCTCTTTATCATCATTTGCCCCATAATACATAGTAGCAATGCAAGAATAATACTATAGTGCTGTGGTCAATTAAGAAATTCTTGGAAAATCAACTGAATACACGCCTTGTGCACTGATTGAGATTAAGTGACTAATAGGGGCTGTGATGTCTCTCAAAAATGTAAGAATCTCACACAAAAACAAATGTTTACAATGAAGTACAAGTAAACAGTGTCTACATAACATAAAAGGCAGATTAAACCGTCCAGTCACCTCCAAAACTCCAGCTAACTCACTCTACGTTTTCTCCTTTCTACTTCATTATTCAACTAATTAAAAATGTGGTCAACCAAGAGACCATTGACCGATTAAACAACTGAAGAACTACAGCAGTTTGATCTTCATATATCAAGTCTCTAGTGCGGTAGTCCTTTAGTTCCTTAGTCGATTGTGTCTTAGTTGTCCAAAGTCTGCATTAGTCATTAGGATTTATATGGGACAACAGCTGAAAGGAGACGTTAGTGAGTGAGTTAGCTGAAGATTTGATATTTTTTTGTATTTATGTGTAAAAAAGCGGATTAAACTCATGATTGACAAGTTTAATCTGTTTTTAAAATACACTGTTTCCAGGTTCTCTTTATCCATAAATTCTTATTTTGTTTTGTGAGTGCAGTGTTAGTTTGAATCAGGTATATATGTAATAGTTCTGAGAGCTTTTGCCACGCCCCTTTTTTAGTTCACCAAACAATCAGCAGGACATGTCTAGTTGAAAGTTTCTTTAGTCAACTGCAGACTTATACCTGGGCATGTCACAATAACAAATTTTCAAGTAGTAAATATAGACGATACTGAAACAAATATATGCCACTGATACAATAAGCAGATTTAAAATTTTAACCACAAAAACTGTTCTAAATCTACAGCACTAAATACACAGCAAAATGAAACACTTAAGTACATAGTTTGAAAGTCATGAGTCATAGAAGTGATTAATTCAACCTTTAACGACTCAAATCTTATCATATAGTCAAAAAATAACCATACATTTTCCAATATTTCAAAGAAAATGAACACATTGACCCTCAAAAATATAGTTCCATTTATCATGTATTGAGCTATAAGTCGATTTAGTAATTATCATGACAGGCCTTCCTCTCTAAAAGCTCTCGAATATGTACATGCTTGTCTATTTGAACTTCTCCTCCATCTCTACTCTGCAGTTGTCCAGTACCATGTCTTGGTTGTTGGCTGTGTGGTTTTGCCTGGGCTGGGTGCTCCTATGCCAGGCCACCCTCTACCAGACCATCCAGCAGCACCACGTGGCCCGCCCCGGCCACACCGAGATCCTCACCCTGGGTAAGTCCGCGTTTGATTTTTCGTTTTTTCTGCTGTGTTTTAGCTCGCGCTCCTCCCTCTCTCGGCTACTGCAGTATGTCAGAATGATTTAGCACAGTAGTCTACCAGTAACATAGTGATTCATACCCCTCCCAGTTATACAAGATACAACTACTTCTGAAGCTTGTAATTGTGTTTTAGAAAACATCAAGTATGACTAAATGAAAGCCGGGGTCTTTTTAAATGTTCCTTTGAGGGCGTACATGGACAAAGATCACCCATCGACGTTATGTGAAAGTATGGATTATGTGTGTGCGTGGAGAAAGAATCCTTACTCTGGATCTTGCTTGCAGACTGTTCGGAATAACACAAGCTGTAGGCATGAATCCCTATTACTGCATTGTGGTTTTATGTGGAAATGACAGTTACAATTCACATCTTTTGCACTGGAAATGTTCTCACTCAAAAACAAATATGTCTACAGTGAAGTACAAGTAACTTACTTAAAAGGCAGATTCAACTGTCCAGTCACTTCCAAAACTCAAGCTATCTCACTGTGTTTTCTCATAATCCTCATAATCCCAACGCAATTACTATTCATCTGAAAAAGAAAAAAAAAGTGGTCCACCAGCACACCAAACAAATAAAGAACTACAGCTGCAAATAATACACTCAGTTTGATCTTCATATGTCAACTCTAGTGCTGTAGTCCTTTCGTTTGGTTGAATAATTAGTCGATGGTGACCAAAATCTTTTTAAAGGTGCATTGTGTAACTTTTGTGAGGAAAGGCGACCCCGCCCACAGTCAGAATGCCTGTTTTTCCTATGTATATTTGAGCTATAAAATCACCTGTAACTGAATAAATGTAAGGTAGAGCTATTTAATGTCATTCCAAGCAGCGCAGTGATATATCCATAAACAAGCAGATGACGGTCCCTAAACCAAAAAGTTACATAGTGCACCTTTAAGCGTCTCTTTGAAGGTGGACAAAGATCACCCATCGGCGTTATTTGGAAGTATGGAATATGCGTATTTGTAGAGAAGGAATCCTTACTCTGGGTCTTGCTGGCAGACTATTGGGAATAATACAAGCTGTAGGCATGAATCCCTATTACTGCACTGTGGTAGCCAGGGGAGCTTTGATCATTGTGGCTTATGCGGAAATGACAATTACTATTCACCCCTTTTGCACTGGAAATGTTTAGCAATTAAGCTTGAAGCCTCATGCACCGTGGGGGCAAATGGGGAACGCTATAGATGCAGAGGCGGATCTAATTCTGTGATTATGAAGAAAGCTTACCAGTATTGCTTTTGGTGTATGTGGGTTTATGGTGAGGGGAAGGCTAAGGCTCCCTTAAGCTTCTAACAATGAGCATGTTGCGCATCTCTTGGAAACTAGTGGGGCTTTGACTTGGAGCTAAGCACTTGTTAAACATTGATGCTATCTCTTTCGGAGTCTTTTCTGGGTTGCCTGTGTGACAGCAGTGTAAAGGAAATAAGTACGAGTCGACACAAGATGCAGCATCTGATTTTTCAGGCTTAGATTATAATGTTAGCAACTTAAAGGAGCTGTACATGTTAAAACAATTAAATAAAATGTAAAAACAGGTTTTAAAGGTCTCATATTATGCAAAAATGGACTTGAAGCCATTTTATATTTTTGTGACTTCATCAAAAAAGTGTGTTTTGTTTCATTCATACATGTTTGAGCATTCCTTTATGATTAGTCTGTACATCTCCAAAGTTCAAAATGCTCTACTCCACCTTGTGATGTCATGTAGTGATAGTTTTCAAGTTAACAGCTACCCTTTACCTTTAGTTTTCAAGTAAAATTGGACAATTCCAGGGATGAAATCATCCAAATGATTCCAGTACTGAGTTAAAAAAAATACAGTGGAGCACTTCCTTTATTACCACATGACATCACAAGGTGGGACAGAGTGTTTTCTGTTCAAGAGAGGAACTCAGCCTAAATATGCAAGGTTTGTGAGTTAATTGTTTTTTTAATACATTTTTTTTGATGAGGAAAATAGCATAATATTGGTCCTTTAAACAGTTTGCAGTCCAAGGTTATTCCTCACTTTATCAATCCAGACCATGAGGCAAGAACTAGCACGCTAATAGCGCACTTCCTGACAGTCTGTCGATTGTGTTTTAGTCGACCCAAAATGTTATTAGTCGACTTAGAATTTTACTTAGATTTAGAGAATAGCATAATAGGAGAAGTGAGTGAGCAGGTTAGCTTGAGATTTTGCATTATTTTGGTATTTATAGGTAAAAAACGTATATTAAACTTATGATTCTTAAGTTTAATCTGTCTTTATTTAAGTCCATGTATTTCTAAAACTTTTTATCCGGCATAATAGTAGTTTTTTGCATGAGCCCCCTTGCAGTTGTAGTCTTGTGAGTACAATTTGCGTCAGATAGATAGAGATTTGTAATAGTTGTGAGCGCTTTTGCCACTCCCCATTGGTCGGCAGGACATATCTTTAGTCGACCAAGAATTTCTTCAGTCAATTACAACCCTAAACGCTTTATAATTAGATGCAGACAGTACACAGCCGACTTATTTGGACCTCAGGAGCTGTAATGGAACACATTTTCCTCAAACACATGGGCAAAATCTAATACAGGCCTTTTAAAGTAGCATGTCAGACAATTGGATTACTTTGGAGAAGCTGACACATAAAAAGCTAAAAAAAAAAATCTTTGCACGATAGAAAGTTCTCAAAGTGTTCTAGCGCCGTTAATTGGAACCAGGGTGAAGGATAAGGGACAGAGAGCTGTGGATGAATTTTTTAAAGGCAAGGCTTCTAGTTTTGCTGTTTTGTGACTGGTTGGCAATTTCGAGCTTGGTGCCAAAGATGTACAAGGAAGTGCAAGGCTCAGTAAGTGTCTTTTGAATTATGCAGCGATTCAGAACAGAGGGAGGGAAAACAGGCCCCCCCTCCACTAACCATCACTTCAGGACGGATGAAAGAATGTCACCCATGGCTACGAGGGGTATTTTAGGTTCCCCATGTCATACAGATCAGCAGACATGTTTACTCCGTTCACCACATGCACATCGGGGTAGCTCTTCTTCACTGGGGCCATTACGATGTGGCGTTTTCATGGGGCCCTGGGGGATACTGGAGCTGCGTTCAGGACACATCAGGTCTGAGAGGAAGCAGTAAACATAGACTGTACATGTGATAGTATTTCATTTTATCTTGATCTCTTTAGATATAAGAAAATCACAAGTGGTAATAAAGAGAGCCGGGATGCAAATTATAGATGCCTTCTATTTTAAAGAGGGGATATTTTACTTCTATAGGGTATTAACTGCTAACACATAACAGATTTAAATCACCTTGTTACCTTTTATTGTTTTGAAATTGCTACAGTCCTTTGCTCTCTTTGCTAAGTCACTCCCCCTTCAATGCAATATCACAACACGATTAGCATTAATGAAACTACTCAGCGTCGCATCAGGTTTGTCCAGTTGTTGCGTACAGTTTTGTATCATATTTTTGTATATTTATGGGAGCAGGGATGATGAAGGCAGTAAGATTGCTCCACTAAAGATCGCTACATTACTGATACATCCATAGATGACATCAAAAAGGCATGTTTATTATGAGAGAATAATGTTATAACATGGTAGAAAGCATTTTTAAATATCAATTTTGCATAATACCCCCTCTTTAAAGATCTACATGCTGAGCACATCTTTCTGTGTTTTGGGTAGTTTTGAGATTTTTAGGTTCAAAGTTCACAACATAGTACAATAGATGTTTGCTAATGTTAATATAAGAAAACCACTAAACCCTACAAAATTGATAAATGGTATTCAGGAGAAAGAATATATGAATAATTTAATTTTGGCAAAAAGCATCAGATAGATGAGTGGTCTGGCTTTAAAGAGGGAGCATTATGCTAAATCAACTTTTTTGAGAGATTAAACTTTTTAATGCATTGTTTTTCACAAAAATAGCATAGTGCATGAAAACCATGTACTATTTTTGGGCATTTCACCCATTCCTAATTCGAACAATCCTACACAGCAAATGGCATGAAGTCATCGTGTTGGTCTCAGAGGGTAACCACATGTAAAGGGCCCTCTTCTAGATCCATGAACAAGGCAAGGTTCATGAATCTAGAAGAGGATATTTATTTTAGTTTTCAGGATTTTAGGTGAAACCCTAAATACAATTTTGGTTCAGACTCCAAAATTGAAGAATGTTGAATTTCTTAAAGAGCCTGTTTTCATGCATTTGAGAAAAATGTGTTTCATCAGCAGCTCTTGATGTCAAAATAATCAAATGAATACAATTACAAAATATTTTATTCGACGATCAGGAAGTAGCTAGCTTTTTTCAGAGATCGCAAAACTCCACTCTGGCCTCTGACAGTTTTGAAAAGTCTAAGTTAGAAAGCATTTTATTCAAAAATCAGGAAGTACCCAGTTAGCATGTTAGTTGTTGTTAGCTTTTCAATGATGGCAAAACTCCACTCTGGCCTCTGAAAGTTGTGAAAACGAGAAGCGAGTAACGAAAGCGACTAAAGCGGAATAACTGGACCACTGCAATCTGTTTAAAGTGAAGATCTGTTTTTTTAAGATGCTAAAAAATCAAGTACATCGCCTTTAACATGATAAAAGTATCAATACTTCATGGATCAAGTACAAACAACTCATAACATGTCTCCTTGCAGCTCTATGATTGTACAATTTACTGTATATCATGTTTTAAGAGGATTAAGCCTTCATCAATCTTACTTAACCATGGCGTGGCGTCAACCGATCTGACCAGAACAGCTTTCTTGGAATTGAAATGCTGTGATGAATATTTGAATTAGAATTGATTTTATAATTTGAGCAGCTCTCTGGTTTCATTCAGGGCCAGAACCTTCAGATATAAATAGATAGAGCTATGTAGGACATGGTGGAAAAAAAGAAATGTTTTGCTTTGAAAAAAATCCATTGGTTTTCATGCTTTGTTGTTTTCTATAATCAAGTGTGTGTCTGTTTCAAATGGAT